TCTAGACTATATGCCCAGGCGATAATTCCTCTTAACATGCATGCATTTTGTAAGTCAGAACAAGCAAAGCTTATATTGTTCAACAGTATACATATGTATTAGATTTCATAAAATAAATATACATATTCTATTTCCTGGATCTAATTGTAATATTTGCATCCTAATTGCACATGCTTTTTGAGTCTCTGAGGAGAGGCCTTCTGTGGAGGTCTTTGGTCTTCAGGGGTCGCTCTGGTATGTCCTTTGGTCGAACTCTCTTTTTGAGCATGTGCAATATGGACTAACCTGCTTAGAGGTTTTTTTCTCCCTATGGTTATCTAGTATTGGCCAGTGTCTCTTGCTCGTCTTTGAGATTGCAGAGTTGAAACAAGTAAGAACCAAGCTCATCTGTATCAAGCAAAATAGAATGCTTCTCTTATCACTTATTGTTACAGGCCTCAACTTGCAGCCGTCAACTGCTTGCAAGCCTCGGCTTGCAGGTATTGTTAGTATACTTTATGCAGAAATAATGTGTAATTATGGTCAAATAACTGTGGCACTGAGATACAGTTTCATATGTGCTTGCCCATTTCCAGAGAATGATCATCCTTCTCTTTGCCACCAGGCAAGTCCAGCACAACCATTTGGCTTAATACATGAAGAGTGGTTTGGCTCCTCCCCAGTTGAGGGGCTTTAAGGTCTCACTCGTGGCTCTATTTACAGAGGCAATGCTAAAGAATTTTCAAAAGTTTTAAATTTTCTTGGTAGCCAACTCTGAAAAATCATGGCAGATGAAGTAATGCCATTCTGGCTGCTGGGAAGCTAACGGTGCATACTCCTTCCTTAGAAGATACGGAGGTGGAGTGGAGCTGGCATGCGAATATCCTGTAGATGCAGTATAGAATCATAGAATTATAGAACTATTCAGGTTGAAAAAGACCCTTGGGGTCACCCAGTCCAACCATCATCCCTACTCTACAAAGTTCTCCCCTAAACCATATCCACCAACACCACATCCAGATGACCCTTAAACACATCCAGGGATGGTGACTCAGCCACCTCCTGAGGCAACCTGTTCCAGTGTCTAATCACTCTTTCTGTGAAAACAAGTTTTCCTAATGTCCAATCTAAACCTCCCCTGTTGCAGCTTGAAGCCATTCCCTCTTGTGCCGTTGCTAATTACCTGTGAAAAGAGACCACCACCAACCTCTCTATGATGACCTTTCAGGTAGTTGTAGAGACTGATGAGGTCTCCCCTCAGCCTCCTCTTCCTCAAACTAAATTTTCCCAGCTCCTTCAAGCATTCTTCATAAGATTTATTCTCTAGGCCCTTCACCAGTTTCTTTGCCCTCCTCTGTACTCGCTCCAGCACCTCGATATCTCTCTTGAATTGAGGTGCCGAAAACTGGTTGCAGTACTCCAGGTGTGGCCTCAAATATGTTGCAAGTTGGTAGTTGAAAGGAAGGAAACATGTAAATAATGGTTTGTCTTTGTGTTTGCTCATGGGTAGATCTGTTATACTGAGATTTTCTTGAAGAGAGAATTTGCTTGCTTTTATAAAATCCATTTAACTTCGAAAGTTTCAAATATTTTTTTTCAGGCTTACTCAGTGTGTGTGTTTGTGTGTGTTTTTACAGCTTTTGCTTGGCAACCTTGCTGGCCAAACTGTTGTTCCTTGCCCTGGTAAGGTGCAGCAACACTTGTGTATGCTTTACAGACCTGTGCTGGTTGGAGAGGTTTGTCTACTGAAGCAGTGCTGTGTTTGTCTGCTGGGAGGCTTGCATCTTGTCCTTGGCAGCCCTTCAGCACATGCCAGCTGGAGGCTGGAGATGCATAGGGTTTGCTGCAGGGTGAGAGCACTGGTGGGCACATGGATCCTTTCTTACCGTGGCAGAGTGCACTTTTGTAGCCAGCTCATAGCAAGGCTGCTTGTCAGCCACCTGCATCAGTCATTTGCCTGATGGGTGTTCTGCTGCTTACTAGGGAGCCTACTTAAAATTGGAGCGCAAAGTGAACTCTGAAGACCTCGGCAAAATGATGAATATGTGGGTTTCACCCCACATACTTGGCTTTTGGACACTTAAAGCTCTGCCAGGCATGCTGATGCTTTCAGCTTGGCTGCATTCTCTTAGCTTTATTGTGGATAGAAAACATGTGAGAAGTCAGTGAATGATGAGCCTGAAGTTAAGTGTAAAAATATGTGAACTCTGAATGTGTTTCTCTCTTTCTAGCTGTAGGCTAAATCTTTTGATGAGCTTAAATTAAATTCTTTAAGGATGCCCATTCAGTCAGTCCCTCTGTTGACAAGATTCTCTGTGGGTTACTTGGAATTGTTGGCAGCTGCCTGAAGTTGGTTTTTTTTTCTCATTTCTCATTAAAATTAATGGCAGATCTTCTCTGTGTTAAAGACAGCTTTGAGGATTTAGTCAGTCTTTCTGGAGGCAAGGGTAGTAGTTGTTTCTAAAGCTGGATGCATAAATGCACTATATTCACTACTGCACTTGGATTATAAAACATTTTTATTTATTTGGTTTTGCCTTCTTGGCATGATGTTTCTTTCCACTTTTGGCTTATTTTTTTTTTGTAAAACTTGTAATGCAGTTTAAAGAGAACTGCAGTGTTCACACCAGCAGCCCATTGCAGTTACATTTGGAAAGGGATTTTTAAGACAGGAGTAACAAGTAATTTAGCAGTGGATAAATGTTCAGCTTTGGGGTCTTTCAAAGACAGCTGCAGTTCCTTTGCCCTCTCTTCAGCTTCCAGCCCATGCAGGCAGTGTGGTGGGAGGTCAGGCATGTGGTGGGCTTGATGCCCAAGTACACCCGTGTGATTCAGAGAACTGTGCACTTAGGTACCTCGTGTTGTTTAGGTGGGATCTGAGTGAGGGTAATGATTTTTCTAAAGTGGGAGGACATGATGTTAACCACATGGTAGGAAACCAGAAGGTGTGAGAAAAGCCCCCTTTTATTGCCAGTAATCATGTGTTAAGTGTCACTGGAGAGACTAGGCCTAGATAACAAGTAAATCAGTGCTGGAGTATGTTCTGGTTGACTGTAGTTGTCTCAAGTGGATTATCGTGGCATAATACACACAAACCACACAAAGCAATGCTGACTTACACAAAAACGAGAAGCCATTATTTTTCTTTAGGAGATTAAAATTTTATCTTAAAAATACAGAGAACACATATAATTGCTGAATGAGTAATCAGATTCTGTAGAATTAAAAACACTCTTGGATAATGCTGCTTGTGATTTAATAGCAAATCCCAACAGAGGATTATATTTGTTTTTACGGTAGCTAGCAATAACTCTTCTGTAAGCACTGAAGCAACCAAATAATGAAGCTCACGGGTCCTCTGACATTGTGCTGGAAAACCTGCACAAGTTTCCTGTGTTTTGGCAAGCTGGTTTCCTGTCCACATCAGACTTCTGTCAAGTTGCCACGAATTAGTATGCTGCAACTTTTACATAAGTATCTTGCATGAATCAGAACTCCTGGGACTGGAGCAGTGGTGTTTGTAAGTACCAGTGGATATATTTTCAGTCAGTGTCAGAAAGCAAAACTGAGAAGCATGATGCAAAACCTCTGGCAAGTTCTAACTGTGGAACTTCAGCCTGAATATTTAGCTACAGATTGATCACAGAATCATAGAATGGTTTGAGTTGGAAGGGGCCTTAAAGATCATCTAGTTCCAACTGTGCTGCATTGGGCAGGGACACCTCCCACTAAACAGAATGGCTGGCGTTTGGAAATCAGAGCACATCAGAGCAAAGCTACAGTCCTCATGGACCTCCTTCCAAGAGCATCATTTATTCAATACCTAGTGAGGAGAAACAGGGCTCTACTTATACATCGACTCCTGTGGAATAACCATGGGAATACTCTGGCCCTCAGTTAAAACGTGATTCTTCCCCAGTCATCCCAAATTTGCAAGACTCTGAAGGAAAGAGATGAAACAGATGGAAGAGGGATCACTGAGAGTATTAGCATGGCTTTTAGGTTTGGGGGTTTCTCAGTATCATATCAACAGTGTCAAACATGAATGTCTACAGCCAGAAAAGCTAGAAGCTCTAGCCAAAAGATGTAAGTGGGCATTAACAGAGCAAAAAATATTTCTCCAAGTCCCACGTGTAATGACTGTTGCTTCTATTGAATGAGCTTTGAAAGTCTGGAGGCTGTGGTCTGAGAGCCTTGAACACAAGGCACTGTGTATCACCACTGGTCCAGCCGTGGCTTTTCAAAGCCAATACCCTTGTGATGCGTTTCTGTCTGACTTCTGCTTTTACAGGGTAGGCAGTTCAGGGGCTGTTTTGTCTGTGACACTTCGAGGAACAGCACAAAGCATCCCCTGCCAAATAGCGCAAGGAAACATTGTATCAGTAAGTACTGAGGGGCTACAAAGTCCAGGCGGCTGTTGGGATGCTGTGCCAGTAGCACTCGAAAAGTCTTGACGGGAGTTTTGATAGCAAATACACATAGAGATTAGAAAGTTTAACATGAGGGTGTTCCAGGTTTGACTGCTTTCAGGTAATCTTTGTTCCCCAAACCATGGGCTTGTGTTATGTAAAGGAGGCTCTGTCCTGCTAGTCTTAAATAGCCTCAACAAGTGATGGATGTAAATGGATGTCTTGTTTCTAGAATGACTCTATTTCTTGGGTTTTTTGTCAGAAGCAGGGACTGTAACTCATGGGATGACAGAAAGATGTTTGTGGGTAAAAGTTTGCATGGGGCTTTAATTTTTTTTTTGTCTGAAAAGTAATGGGGAGGCAAACACAAATTCAGGAATCTTCTTGCAAAATATCCACAATTATGGGAATAGAGGGGAAAAAAATTTAAGGCTGATTTCAAAGAATTGCGATTCTTCATTCAAAATGAAATAAGCATGCAGCCATCTTGTCCAGTATTGTTTATTGTATTCATAGTTAGTGGTGGTTGTTAAGCTTCTGTAGAGATAAAGCTTAGTCTGACACCCCTTTTTTTTTTTTTCCACTTTATGCATAAAATTATGTACCTATATCTTCGAGTGTGAACAAAATCTTACCATTTAATTGTTTATTTTTTTATTATTATTTACAAGGTGGAATATATGTTGGTAAAATTTGACCATGAGAATAAGAAAGTGCGCTTGGTGCTCTGTGGTGAAGAAGTTCTTAAAACCCTGCAAGACAAGGGGGAGAAGGTAAACCCCAAGTGAGTAGCAGTTTCTTGTTCCTTTTTTTTTCCTTGTTATGGTAAGGTACACAATTTTGTAAACCGGGTTCAACTTTCAGGTTTGCTGTCAGTAAAACTGTAAGCCACAGATACCAATATTTTTCAGATAGATATGGGTACAGGAAGTGAAAGATGTTGAGCAAACTTGTAGGTAGTCTGTGCACCTTTTTTGTTATGCCTTGAAAGAAAGAAGGATGTAATGGTGAGCCCACGGAAGTTGCAGTTTGGGTATTTGTTTTCCTTTGTTCTGTTTTCATGTCTGTGTGTACATAGTAGTTGGGTACTAGACCTTCCCTGCCCTGTAAGGTATGTGTGTGTGCACTTGGCCCTGTATCCCTGACTACAGGAGTCAGTGAGGGCTGTATAGGGAATTATAGGAAAGCCTGGTGTCTGTAGGAGCACTTTCCCGTTTGTGGCAGAACTAGAAAGGTAGATGTAAGGATGGCATGAAAGTTCTTCCCCATCCTCTCTCATGGAGTTTCCAGGAATAGATTATGCCTCTATTCTAGCTAGGCAGAGAACTGAATTACCTCTTAATGGCAGCACAGAAAGGAGACCAAAGACAGCAAAGCGTTCTGGTTGAGCAGAGCCAAAAGCAGGTCACAGCTTGAAGGAGAGTAGAGAAACTCGACAGTACTGATGAAAGGCTTTTGCACTTACCTGCTTCTTTTTAGGTAGCTTAATCATGTCTTCCAGTAAGGCTTCCCTATCTGTTCCTCAGTAGAGAGACTATTGAAAGCCTTTGAGAAGGAATCCCTTTGCTTTTAGGCTCAAAATCATTATTGCCAGAAAAACAGTAGTGGAGATATAGCTTTGCCTGTGGTGGAGTGTGTTCTGTAGAGGTGGCATGGCTTCACAAGGGGATGGGAAGGTATTGCTCTTCAGGAGTGACTAGGTGCACTCAAACCTCATTGCATTTATTAACCTGATACATTTGTGAAACAAGACCAGGTGTTCACAAGCAATAGAAAGAAGAAATTGAACCTAACTTTTACCTTGCCTTGTACTGTGGAAGCAGTTGAATGTTCTTTATTTTCCATTTTCAGTTAAAATCTCAAGAAGCAAAACTTGAATCAAAATTTCTAAAGGTGATTGCAATTTGACATGGGCAAATCCTATGTCTAATTGCACTTATTGCACTATACAGCAACACTACTGGTGCCATAATTTCTTTTTACTGCCTACTGGCAGTGAGGTGCATTGGAAGGTACATTGTGTTACTCTATCAAGTAATCAAATTAAGGAGATTTTTTTTACAAGTTGCATTATTTTCTGAAATTCTAGCAAATAATACGGTGGGTTTTTTTGAAGTTGCAGAAATATTTTAAACATTGCCATTCTTTTACTACAGTCACCCAACACTCTGGCGACCAGAATATGGAAGCTACATGATCGAAGGGACGCCTGGGCAGCCATATGGTGGAACCATGTCTGAATTCAACACTGTGCAAGACAACATGAGGAAAAGAAGGCAAGAGGCTGCCTCTGTGCTCAAAGAAAATGAGGCTGTTTGCACTGTGACATCGTTTCCAAGGTGAGATGGTTGTTGAACTGTAATTCCATGTTTCCTACTCTTCTTACATGCTTTTTCACCTTATTGCATATAGCTAAACTGTAGAATGAAACCTAGCAAAATATGATTCAGTTAAAGTACTTAATATTCCAGTTGTGATTCCTAAGATTTTTATTGCAATTAGACAAGCAAATAAGCATCTTTTATATTTTTAGGTTATTTCTAATCTGCGATGATTTTATATTAGGAGATAATACCTGAATATTCATTACATAATATATAGTCTGCCATCTTGAATTGATATGGCAAATCCCATATAAAAGGTTTCTCTCTGTATTTTGCAGCCTTTGACCTTTATAAATGCCACTTTTGTAAATCATGGCTAACCTGCTCTATTTTTTAACACTACTTTTTCACTGAAGCATTTGGTGGTTTGGAGCAGACAGTAGAACAGGAATGTGATGATCCTTACAAAATGAAGACTTAAAACTTCCATAATACTGTGCTTTCTGTGCTGAATCTAGAAAGGAGAACACCTTTCCTGGGTTCCTGACAGCCTTACAAATGGTAGATCTCCTTCTTTTTATTGTTGTAAAGAGACTCTAGAAGAAATGAAATTTAGGGTGTACTTCATTACTTAAGAGCAACTGTACTTTGTGAGTTTCATTTCAAACATTATTCTAGACAGGGATTTATTATGTTAATTCTAACTAGCCTGGTCAGTTCAAATGAATGAAGGTAGTTATTCTTAGAATAGTTAAAAAATTGCTCTTCAGTAGAAGAGAAGCAGCTGGTCTTACTGTTTTGTTTCTTATGTAGTACAGAATGCAGTGGCCCAAAATTCTTGCTAAGAGCAGGAGTGGTACAAAATCTGACTTCACAGTGAAGTTCAGGTACCAAAATGCCTGCATTACGCCCCATGAATGCTATTTTAAGAGCATTCTGACAAAATACACTTCCTCTTTATGGGAGCTATGCTAGATATCTTAAAGGTGTTAAGAGCCTATTTAGACTCCAGTGGCTAAGTAGTTCTCAGTATGTTGCAGAAGTAGGTGGGTTTTTTGCTCTACAACTTTACAAATGGATTGTCATGTAATTTTTCTATACAAACATTTCAGATAAATCCAGTCTTTTAAGGAATAAAGGGAGAGGACTTCTTCATCACTTTGTAGATACAAATAAAGACTTTTTACATCACTGTAGGAGCAATACATTGTACTTCAGTGAATGCAAATAAGTAATAAAATGTAATTTGCTTATTACTTCTGGATCATCCCAAACACAGTTTAATCCTTCAGAGCTTGCTCTCTCTAGGCGATTTAGATACTTACTTCTACTGTTTACTGTCTTACCATTCAAGTCCCTGTTGGTTTGACTGGAGTCTTGTTAATATATATTTCTGAGGTTTTGCATGTTTGGGGTTTTTCACTACCTTGTCTGAAAAATAACATACAAATGCCTGTGTGTGTCTACGCACATACGTTGGTGTGTAAGTAAAAACCCACCCTGTGCATCCACAAAGACAAAAAAAATTGTTAGAGTGCTGACAGAAGAAAGGTAAAAAAAAGTGGGCTTATTCACATGAAAATAACTCAGTTAAAAAATAAAAAAACGGAAAGTATTTAAATATTGAAAAATACTAGCTTAGAAGCTAGTATCCCTAGTTCTTAAATTTGTGAGCTCTTGCAACTGGACCAGAAAGCTGTTTTCTTTTTTGAGGACTGGAGCGATGCAGTTTACAGCGTTGCACTTATGAAAGTGATGAAGTTTGGTTTACCTATTGTAGGACAACTTGTATACTTAAATCAGAAAGAGGAAACCAATAATGAAATACATGTTGAGCATAAATAATATTTCCAGAAATGTGTTTCCTGATATTTTGAGCAATTTAGTTGTAGTTAGATTGGCTAACCTGTTTTATACAATCTTCTGCATCTTTACCTCCAACATCTCAAGTGCTCCTTTGTCTTGCTTGTACTGAAAAGCTAGTAATTCTTGTTTCAGATTACTCTTAAACTTAAAATGGAGGTTCCAAAGGGGAGAGTTGTATTCTGATTTATTTCTATATCTCTCAGCATTTTACACCTAGCAGCTGTTATTTTTCTTTGCCATAAGACAGCTCTCTCATGGGGTTTTTCAGAGTTCTAAAATCGCAAATTGCTGAGGTGTGTATATCACTTGAAACTACCCCTAATTCTTAGAGTTGTTTAACTCTTAAGATTGTTGGGTAGATTGTTGAAAGCAGAGCTGGGTAAGTTCTTTCAGCAGTCAGCCTGTGCCCTCTGGAGGACCTGTTGAAGACACAGTGCAGCTGCATGGCACTATTAATGGCAGGTGCTAATACACTAAAATGTGTGTGTACTCTGCATGATGCTGTGAAGTTTCAGCCACTGAAAAGGTCCGTGTTTACTGTTAATGATGGAGTAGTGGTTTTAAAATACGAAAGGTCTGGTTTAAGCACCACATAAGCTGATTGCTGGCAAGTGCTGACTTTGTAACGACAACTATTGTAGGACCTCTTTCTGGCAATTCCACATGCATAGGTAGCAGTCTTGAAAAGTGCTTCAGAAGTACTCACTGTAGATACAAGTCTTTTTAAAAAAAATATCTTTTTATTCTTCTGTTAGAATCCAAATCTCCCATAATCCGTTAACTTTAAAATCACAATCAGGTTTTTCTTACAACTTGGATCTCATTGTTCTGTTACATAGGTTAGGGTGTCCTGGGTTTACGCTGCCGGAATATAAGCCAACGCCTGTAGAGGGAGGAGCTTCAAAATCCCTCTTTTTTCCAGATGAAGCAATCAATACACATCCTAGATTTAGGTAAGGGTATTTGGTGAGTATGAATGAGAAGCTGTATATTTTTTAATAAAAATAATAAGTATACCTGCAATTTATTTACATTACTGGAATAGAGAGCTATATGGCTAGTTGCTGCAGGTACCCAAGGGCTTGGACAAAGATGGTTGCGATGACATGTATTTTCTGTAAAAGTGACTTAATAAAACAAACTGTTAAATAAGTAACTTTACATAGTAGTTCATGCCATTATGGGACAAAAGATATTGATTGTGCTACTGCAAAATTGATTCTGGTTTGAAATCCCATGGCTAACCACTTCCATCACAGTTAATCCAGCTCTGTGCTCAGGTATGTCACAGCAACACCTCAGTGTCCTCAGTAACTTGCCCTGGTTATTCTGTAATGGAGCATGGTGTCAAGCTGCTTGTATGGTTTGGGAAGGGTTTTCATCATAAGGTGAGACTTTGGAGAATGAAAATCATTCTATGTAAAAATGAAACATACCTTTTCACCTGCCCCTGTATTCTTCAGATCAGTAGCATTTTAATTATGCCTGTTCTATCAGCATTGTACTGTGAAGTCCATCAAAATATGACTGACTTTCCTGAAGAAAAATTCAGTGTTGTCTCTCTTACAGTCTATCTTAAACTAGGGAAAGAAATTTCCTGAAGGAAAATGCTCTAAATAAATAGAGTTGACGTTCTGAAACCCTGAGAATTGCTGAGAAACTAGCTCTAAAAATACTTGCATAAAGAGAAACTTTCAGATATTTCAGCAAACTTTTTTTGTTGTAGTACACTGACCAGAAACATTCGGCACCGAAGAGGAGAGAAGGTTGTGATAAATGTACCAAGTGAGTAAATTCAATCTATATTTTTATTTTTCAAAGTAATTGTTCTATCTGATGCTATGGCTTACTGAGTATTTGCATTTTCCACACAGTATTTAAAGATAAGAACACACCATCACCATTTATTGAAACGTTTCCTAATGATGATGGAGAAGCAGCAAAGGCAGCCAAGCCAGACCATATATACATGGATGCTATGGGTTTTGGAATGGGAAACTGTTGTCTTCAGGTAAAATGCATCTGCTTTCAACATATTACTGAATGTTGTCTTCCCTAAAGTTCAGTTTTTAAGATTTGCTTTGAGTCTAATTTCTCTAGCTTCATTCAACTGATGTGTTTTCAGATTGGCAAAAGGGGAAATAAAGCAACAAATGTAATCTTATGCTTGGAGGGTAGTCTTAAAATCCAGGTGTGTTTGCTTGCATTATGTTCATTTTCTGCTAATATTCACAGGTAATTGAATGTCATATTGAAAGGGTTTCTTGAACTGGTCAAATGCCATTTTATTAAGCACCTTCTCCTGCAACTCCAGCATTTTTCAAGTATGAAAGATCATCTTCCACTCTGGTCTTCTTTCAGTCGTGACCAGAGGACACTGTGAGAATGGAAACTGAGCTGTCTTACAGGAACATGGAGGGTTTTTTATTTACTCATTTTGGTATTTTTCCCTTCTTCTTTGTTCTTGAAACAGCAAAAGCAAGGAGTGACAAGAAATCATTGGAATATCTTTAAAATTAGTAGCTTTCTCCTACTCTGTAATTTTACTTAATTTACAAACAGCATGAACTCCTGTACAAAATTTCTCATTCTCAAATATTTTAGCTATCTGCTAAAGAATACTAAAGACAACTTCTGAATAGCTGTATTCTGTTACTACGTGCTGGGAGATGGTTTTGGTTCTATTTTCTCCCATTAATGCATGCTCACTTTTTATTGTTTTATTGTTTCATTTCATTCAGTTGCCCAGGTCACTACTGTCTTACAGGATATATCCTCCTTTTAAATCCAGATGCTGTATCTCAGGAGTGCTTTAATCCTGTCAATATGTTTGTTTTAAATGTTTCTATATCATAGTAACCTGATGCTAGGAACTGCTGCCTTAAGTGGTAACAATGTATTTGACTGTTGATAAAATCTGCCTGTTGCCACTGCCTCTTGAAGCAGAACTAGGAAGAGGCTAGTAGTGTTAAGTCTCTAGGGGATTAAAGGAAATTCTCCAACCTGTTCTTGTTTCACAGCAGTGGCAGAAATAACCCTATTCAAAGCTATTCCTTTTGAGATTGAGAAACCACAAAAGCTGAATAAATAAAATGTTCTTGACATCATAAGTATGATTTCTTGTCACTATGGTTATGTTAGGGAGAAGTAGTAAAGTGCACATAATACTGCATGGTTTTACAAGGTGTTAAGTTCGATGTGGTCTATTTTGTACTGTCTCTTTAAGACCAATAAGAATACAGCCTTACCATCCAGTCATTGTATGAACTTGCTTAAAACTATATTAAATTTCTTTTTATGGAATACCAGAAAACTGTTAAAAAACACTAAACAAATTCTTGCTTTTCTTAAGCCTCTCTCTCCTCCTTCAGTTTATATATTCATAGCTCAGAGGATAACTTAGATGGGAGCATAGCCCTGTGCCACTACTGTAACATGCTACAACAGGCTTCAGCTCTAAATCACCACCACTGCTTGTTGTCCTGAAGAATGCCAGCTGAACACAGATTTTCCTCTTCCATAGATTACAATTAGAGAGTTCTACAAAACTTACAGGTTCTTTTCAGTCTACCACTGAAGCCAAATCAAACTCCAAGAAAGCCTCTTGAAATATTCTTTGAAACAGCATTAGCTGTCATGTAAAACAAATGTTACATTTACAATAGTTTGGCTGTTGTTCTAAGTAAGTAGGTTCCTGGCTTAATTCCTGAAGGTGCATTACTGACCTATGTGTACTGTAGATGTTAACTCAGTTTTCTTTGGTTCTGGCAAGTGTTTGTGTATTTAACCTCACAACCAAAGAGCTGTGGTCTGAAATCTTTTCATGAACATAGAAATGGTGTGGAAGGAAGCTTGTGATATAAACGCTGCTGATAGGTGGGGCAAAAGTATGTCCAGAAACTGGGAACCCAGGAAGGAGGAGTTCACACAAAAAACCCCCACCAACCGAACAAAAATCCCTTACAATCCTTGGCATCTACATAATTTTGTTATCATTGATTCTAAATCTAGGAGGACTCTGCTTGCTCTATGGTTATAGAAATTCTGATAGCAATTGTACTTCTTCCAACAGGTAACATTCCAGGCTTGCAGCATTTCTGAGGCAAGGTATCTCTATGACCAGCTAGCCACAATCTGTCCCATTGTGGTAAGTAATGGACTTCTATCACATCAGCTCTTGATTGTGCAAAAGCCACTACATGCAAAAAAATGAAATCTAAATTAAAAAAACTTTGAATGCTAATTTCAAATATGGTACTCTGGGAGAAGTGCCAATGTCTTGGTAGGTTGTTACATGAGCACAGTCTTTTATTTAATATCCAGATGATACCACAAAACACAGGATGTCTGTTTCTTCTCCTTTGTCCTCCTTTGCACATGCATGAAACTTGTTAAATAGTTCTAGGAATATATTTGGGGTAGTTTTTCACTAAAAACAAGCTCATTCCCTGAAACATGTTTGTTGTTTTTATTTAACTCTAGTCTGGTGTTACAGAGGGCATCAGCTGAAGTTGTTGAAATCTGTCCCTTTTGTAAGCATGTGGTCATAAACAGGTGTTATAAAAACAAAGCATTGGTCTGGTTTAGGTGGTGAGCAGATCCTGCCTTGAGTCATATGTTCGAACTGTGTTGCTAAGGTGCTTGGCAAACAAAAATAAAATAAAACTTGCTGGGTGAACTTCTGCATTTTGGAAGTGTGCGAGCAGAATACATACTGATTTGTCACAAAATTGCTTCTGCCATATCATTGTGTTCCTTAAATGCTGATCTGTAGAAGTAATAAATTCGGAGAGTGTCAGATGCCATTTCAATAATACTAACCCTCCATCTCGGCGTTTTCTGAAGATAGCAGGGATTTGTGGCTGTACGGGCTTTGGCTGTAGGTTAAACTGGAGTAAATATTTCAGTCTGCTGTTACTTCTTAATCTTACTTCCAGTTACTTCTGCACCAGCAACCTTCACTTTTCAGTGGGATTGTGTTTTGGTTCCTTGTCTTGCCCTTGGTTTTCATATCAGACTGGTTTATTTTAGATGGCATTGAGTGCTGCATCTCCATTCTACAGAGGCTACGTGTCAGATATTGACTGTCGCTGGGGAGTAATCTCTGCATCTGTAGATGATCGAACACGAGAAGAGAGGGGACTGGAGGTAAGTAATGTTAGGTAGTAGGTTTATGGGTTTTTTCAGGCAAAAAATGTTAAGTCTCCTTTAGTATAAAGTTCTGCTTGTGATCATCAGAATGCCCGATCAGGGAATGTAGCAGTCTTTCTGATAAATACAGGAGAGATGGTGTAAATATTTGCCCTGGTTTTATGTTTATGTTAGCAAATACCTATTTTTAGTTAGGTGTTGAATCCCAGTAGAACTCCACCCATTCCTCCACAGCTTCCTGAAAAGGTCTTTCTGTAGTGATTCCAGTCTGTGCTAGAGCCCAAAAAGCAAAAATTGCTTTGTATTAAATACCATTTGCTACTAAATAATCCAGTAGTATAAACTGGAACTACATTAAAAGAGCCAGTTGCCAGAACTTGAGCTTAAGGAGTTTGTCTAACCAGGAATTGGCATTCTAGGTGCTTACTATATTATAGATAATTAATTAATTTATTTTTTTTTAAATCTACTTGAAATATTTCTTGAACTACTCATTTTAAGAGCATCTCTAACAACGTGCACTGTATTGGTATGTGTTGCAATAGGTATAATAATGATTTCTAGGTGCTTGGGGTAATGGTGTATTTTATCCACTTATAGAGAATTCTGGTCAATGTGTGATGACTGTTTTTTTTTTCACTCAGATACATACATCTGCAAACAAAATAGTCATAATTCCAGGATCGCTTTCTGTTAGCCTATTTAAGACTTGTGCTTTGACTAATTTTATTTGAGCCTATAGGGTTTTTTTTAAACAGGATAATAATTCTCACATAAGTGTCATTAGTGAGCAAAACTTAGGTAACATTGTTAACAAGCTGTTAAAATATTGTATTCTTAAATTATATAGCCACTGAAGAACAACCATTATAGAATCAGTAAATCCAGATATGATTCCATAGACAGTTATCTATCTGAATGTGGTGAGAAATACAATGACATTGATTTGACAATAGACAAAGATATCTACGAGCACCTAATAAAGGAAGGTAAGTGTTTGCTTCGTTATGAGCAGGTTAAGAGTTATGCTTGCAGTCTGTGGGAATATTTTATATTTTTGTTCATGTTTGTTTCAATCATTGTGCATCCCTCAGAGTAACTCTTACTCAGGAAGTATCTTTACTGTGATCTTGAGAGGGTTGGGTTTTTTTAAGTATTTGTTTCTGATGGAAACCATCCCTAATTCCAGCTTCAGAAGCTCAGTGTTTGATGCATTAACGTTTTGTGTTTATGGAGAGAGCAGAACTGCATTAGGAAACATGGCACAGAGGTGTATCAGAAAACAGGAAAAACAGCAGCCACACCAATATTTGCTGCCATTTCCAAACATGAAGAACCTCTTTTTTCTTTTTTTTTTCTTTTTTTTTTCTTTTTTTCTTTTTTTTTTCTCTTTAATCGTTTCCTTCCTTCCCAAAGTCTTAATTTAAACTTCAACAGGATGTGGTGGGTTGAGGTAGAATTGCAGAGCTGGATGTTTTCAGTCTTGTAGAACAAATATTTCATAGAGCATACTAACTATGCTGTATGTGATTTGTTTGTTTGAATTTTCCTTTTGTAGGCATTGACCACCTTTTGGCACAGCATATTGCACACTTGTTCATTCGAGATCCATTGACTTTGTTTGAGGAGAAAATACATCTAGATGATGCAAATGAATCCGACCATTTTGAGGTTGTGTCTGATTTAGAGGAATTTAATAAATATATACATAAAATGCCTATTTGTTATAGTACTGCTTAATTGGAGCTTGGCTATATTAGCTAAGAATTTTTTTCATTAATTTTTGACTTGCACTAGTTCTTTAGCATATTACTTCACAGTTGTAAATAAATTTATTTATTTGCTTTATCATTTATTTAGGAGAAAGTAGTGGCTTATACTTTAAACCAAATAAAATATGAAGAGCTCAAACTATAGTTATGTATGTAAGTGTTACGAGGAACTGTTTATTTCTATGGCTTCCTAAAAACTGTTTTGTGTAACATTTATACAGCTTTGTGAAATAATATTGATGGTAATACTAGGTATTTTTTGTTGGGAAGCATCAACTCCTCAAAAAAAATAAAAGGTCGGCTAAATCTCAGCCCCCTGATGTCTTATATGTGATCCTCAAATAAAAAAAGCATGAAAAAGTGTAACGTTTGCTCCTTGGATGGGTCATTATACTGTGTTTTTTAGGAAGTCATGCCACTTAGTTGATAAGTGCTTCTCTAGCTTGATGGGCTGTTCCAGAGAAAATATTAGGACTCCAGTTACCTGCTTATTTTTCTTTCATTTTATTGTAGAATAATGCATACCATGATTGTGACAGATGACTTTGTGTGCTTTGCAGAATATTCAGTCTACAAACTGGCAGACAATGAGGTTTAAGCCACCTCCTCCAAATTCAGATATTGGGTGGAGAGTTGAATTCAGACCTATGGAGGTAAGGAAGGTGTCAATATGCACAAAAGCGCATTTCCTTTCAAGTGGAAAAGTACCAGGCATTCTGCCATCCTGTATCAAGCCCTTATTACTTATGCTGTGTTTTCTCCCCTCTGAATGGCTAGATGCAAGTGAAGCTGACAACAGTGTTTAATCAAACATGGACTGTGGGAATTTAACTGACAGAATCCACTGCAGCACAGCGAAGCATGCTAATGGATTTGGGGTGATGAGGAAAGGAATTAGACTTGAATTAAAGCAACAGTAAACAAAGCCCCATTTAGCTTCTAGGGGCTCCAGTATTTTTCCTGGTACTGAACAATTTCAGTGTCATTGTGTTGTTTTTCTCAAGTGCTTTTATTATATCACTGTCTATTTCTGAACTCTATGAATTTAATCCCATTAAAGGGGAAATTTAAAAGCTATTACACATTTGTACTTAGAAAGCCTGAAGGTGCAGGTTATTAGATAGTCTTTTGACACGCAAGTGTGCTTTGGTACTGGATTAAAGGGTTGAGTTTGTTGAAGAGTGTGCATGCATCGTGCTTTGGAAGTCACTGCTGGTAGAGTGCGTGAATACCAGTACCAACATGGACATTCATGTCAAACTGTTCTAAACTGTCCCAGATATTTATCTATTTCATGAGTGTATTCCTGCTATGTAACTTAATCTCTAATCCTTTCATGCCTAGGTCCAGTTAACAGACTTTGAAAACTCTGCGTATGTTGTCTTTGTGGTATTGCTAACCAGGGTGATTCTGTCATACAAGCTGGATTTTCTTATTCCTTTGTCCAAGGTAAGTGTGGAAAATAATTTGCATCCAGTCTGATTTTTATCCCCTGCAAGCTAGGAACTAATATTTGTGCACTTTACAGAGCAGTCATTTTTGTCTTCTAGTTGTCATCTGTACTAGTATTTTGAATCAATTTCAACTCTACAGTATTGAACAAATATTTTACTGCTGTCTCATGGGGCTAAGCTTACAGACAAATACTGTGAGGATTTCTGTGTTGCCTAACAGTGTCTGACTGTTTCAGAAATGCTGGGAAATTTCATTGTCAAAAGACTTTTGAGACTGGGAAAGGGCATATTTCCACCACTTAACACGTGGGGAAAATAACCTGTGGAGGGCAAAATGAAAACCTTTAGGTATTAGTTTTAACATAGGTGTTGCTTATGTCTTAGTTTTTTTATTCTCTTTTTGTTTGTATCTGGTGGGGAGAGGAAGGGAGGATTTTGGCATGCTTAGTGTTACACAGTATTTGAGTGAAAACAAACCCTGCTGATTCTGATCACAGCTGTGACTTGTATTTAGACCAGCCATGCAAAATTTGCTTTTTCCTTAATCGTGTCCTCGCAATTGAACTGTTTTGGGCAAAACTGTCCTTGCATTATCTTCTTTCTGAGGCACATGACCAGAAAATGCCCTTTTAAATGGACAGTCCTGCAATGTTATAGAAAACTTGAAAAAAGGTCTGGAAGTACAGAAAGCTTCTGACAGACCTATACTAGAAAATACTGCCAGCAGTGCAGTGGCTGCAGCATAACAGTACTATCCTGTAGCTTTACTTAGTGGTTTTAATTAAAATGAACAAAAATACTGAAGTTATAAATTAACAGTAATCATACTATACAGTTTGCATAGTTTCTAAAAAGAGAAATTCTGATGTCAAGGAGTTCAGACTCCATAAATAATGCAGCAGTTCAGCACTTATAATGCATAATTGTATTATTATTTGGAATGTCACAAAAGTGCAAATGCTCATGAATGCTAGTTAGGACTGAAAATAAAGAGATCAGGTGCTGAAAGAACCTGAACAGAGCTGAGGGAGACAAAATGTTTTGAGCTTGCCAAGCAATTTGGCAGGTAATGCAACACACAGTTGCACAACCATTGGTAAGTCTGCCTCTTTCAAGTAAAATAATACGGGTTTATGGGGCTAATCTGACACTAATCTTTGCTGTCTGAATGCAGTTGTACTCCAATCAGCCAGGACTGGACTTCTTTCAAACTTTGAAAACAGCCTGTTGTGTAAATAGGTTTCATAATGCAAAATTAACAAAAGCAGACTTTTGAAAACAAATCTTTGAAAGATAAGAACTAAGTGAAGATTTTGCATTGCCCTTAATTAAAGGTCAAACAAAGAATTTGGAAAATCTTATTCTTTCTTCTGAAGACAATACAGTAAAGCTCATGTCTGAGAGCTGATGTTAATTCCCTGAGAAGAAACCAACCAAAGAACTTTGACAAAATCTTCCACTCAAGAAGACAGAGCAATGCTTATGTTGTTTACAGAGCATATGAGCAGTGCTTTGTACTTTGTAGACTTTCTGAGAAGCCTGCAATTTAGAATTTTTTAACTAGCAATCTAAATTTATCTAACTAACCAGATTTTGGATATGGAATAGATATGATTCCCATACCAATTTACTGGAATTCTGTTTCTGAAAGTGTGTTTAATACAGTGATTACTTTTCTAAATACTTCAGTGGTTTTTGTTAATAAAAGCATCGAACTATGGCTAGGGAAATGGCAATTTTCTTCTTCTGTACTTCTTTAAATTGCATCTAAATATGCAAAGACGTCTGCCAGATGGGATGCAACCTGTTAATCACAGCTGTCCCTGTGTTTTCATCCAAACTTAAAAAACTGGCATAGCATGTTCTAATATAACACCATTATCTTTTCTGCTGGAGATGTGATTTCGCAAATGTCATTTCTTTGTGGCTTTGCCCACAACCCCTGAAGAGTAAAACAAAATTCATCTTCACAGCTTGGCCTTTTGTAATGAAATAAGAAACATAGTACATGTTTCAACAAACAATACTAAAATGTGAGGGTTTGGGAGATATTCTGAAATGTCACAAATCTCTGAAATACTTCTTTTGACAGGTGGATGAAAACATGAAGGTGGCCCAGAAAAGAGATGCTGTCCGGCAGGGAATGTTCTACTTCAGAAAAGATATTTGCAAAGGTATCACAACAAGCAGTCGGATTAACACTGTGGTGGATACTTAGTGCATCTCTTGCCTTTTAACTGTTTCTTTCTTTGTCACCCATAAAGGTGGAAACGCGGTTGTGGATGGATGTGGCTCTGCACAGAATGGGACAGGCACTGATGCAGAAGAGTACGCCTTGATGAGCATTGATACCATTATCAACGGGAAGGTCACAGCCTCTTCTACCTGGAATATGCAGCTTTCCCCTCCCAGAAACCAGATCGAGTGTGACTTATGCTGACTCTGTTCTCTTATACAGGAAGGAGTCTTTCCTGGTTTGATCCCAATTTTGAATTCCTATCTTGAAAACATGGAAGTGGATGTGGATACAAGGTGCACCATCCTAAACTACCTGAAGCTAATAAAAAAGAGAGCATCTGGTATGTTCATCACTTTGGGGCACTGATTTTCCTGGTATATCTCTACTTAGCTGTTCTCTACTTTTCAATTGGGTAAAACTGGTGGTGGCTCTGGCTGTCTGATTAAGTGTTGAATAATGGGAGCAAAGGACTGGAGAGTGTTTTCTGGCTCAGATCTGGTCCTGTCTAATTCTGATTATATAAGTTTCATGATCCATTTTAGAACTTAAATTAGGAGTAATTCGTACAGTTGCAGTAACAGCTTAGAGGGTGATGTTGTCTCCAGTCTAGTATTTCTCTTTCAGCACCATTACTGCTGCACTTGCTAGTGTATTGTCCACTTTGAAGTAATTTGCATGTATACTAATCCCTTTTGCCTGTTGCTTGAGTGTTGTAAGAGCATGTGAGGCTGGATCTGACAGCCTGGTATTGCTGGTGTGACTCCAAAGCGTGCTGCTCCAAATCATTCATATGTCTACATTCTGGTATGCTGGAGCACAGGACTTAGTTCCCTGATTAACAAGTCCTTCTGTAAGTAGCAAAACTTCAAAGCAGAGCAATCCTGTCTTCCCCACATCACAGTGTTTTCAAAGGCAGGTGGTATAATTACTCTTTATGCCCTTTTTAAAATTCAGCAGTGTAATGAGTAAGAGATGCAGGCTAAACTTTAATTCAGAACTAGGCACACAGCAGAGTCTGCAGCAGCTTTATACCTTTCTTTGTGCAAATCCCACGTGTGTCTGCCTTGCTGTAATTTTAGCCCGACAGTTAATTTTAATCTCAAGTCAATACATTTTTATATTTTTTTTCCTCCCCTGTTTTGAAGTAAAGCGTGGCATTCCTCTTTAGTTCTTGAAAGTTGCTATAGAAGCTTCTAGCTAAAGACCTTTCTAAAGATAAGGTGGAAATCACTACTTTCTCCTGCCTGGTAGTTCAGTACTTTTTCAATACTTGAAAACAGTAGAAACTTTTAATTAATGACAGCTTTTACTGTGAGTATTCTTTCCTAAGGCTGCTATTTTGAGTCTTGCATCTGGGGAGGCACAACCCCATGTACCAGTACAGGCTGGGGACTGACCTGCTGGAGAGCAGTGTAGGAGAAAGGGACCAGGGGATCCTGGCAGATGTTTGCCTTCCAAAGAACAGCTTTGCTGCCTGGTACAAAGTTGCAGGCATTGCAAAAGTCAACTCCTGTATTTATATAGACCTCAAAGGTGTAAGAGTGAGGTAGATAAGAGTCTATACTATAATCTTAACTTAAATGATTTTTAAATGATGCTTCTTAAGAATCAGAATTCACAGAATAAAGAATTATTAGGTATCATATCACTGTGCCATGATAGTTCTCAGTTGTGAGCTTTGGGTTATTCCAGTTTACTCTCTATCTTAAATGTTCCTGAACTGCAGCCTGTCTAGCATGAGACACATCCACAAAGAGTGGCATTTTTCAGATTTCTCTTCTGAAATGGTAAACACAGAGCACTTAGGAAAGTTAATCACTGGCACCTTAGCTGCTGTGGCATTGACCTTGCTCTGACATAGTTCCTCTGTGCTTCACTTGCATCTTCTCTTATCTTCCCTTGCAGCACAGGTAGGTATTTCCCTCCTGGTCTCCATCAGGCGGGTGTGACTGCCACCACTCAGTGACACTATAGGTTTGTTAGGCAGGCAGCAGCTGCTGACAACCACCAGGTATTAATGGAAGCAATGCAGAGATGGCAGTCTGGAGTGATCTGTGTCCTGGCATGCTCTCCTGGCTGGCTGCAGGGTAGGCTCTTTCTCTGCCAAACGTGGTGCCATAATCAGGGTGCTCGATAACTGTTCACAAGCATGTTCACACTTTGGGTTCCCGTCAAGTCATAGGATAAAAAATGCCACAGTTTTATTAAATGCTCTTCGAAAAGTGTCATTTCTGTACTTTAGCATGTTTAAATGATCTTTCCAATTATTTCATTATATCGCTCCTAGTTCCTGCATTTTAGGATAACGTTCCTCTACTCATTTCTCATCATGATTTTGCAAACTTCTTAAGTGTATTCTTGCTTCCAAATTTGTAATTCCCTTTGTCTTGCCTCTGCTTGCTGCTTGGAAGTTGTCTCACACCTTTTGTCAATCTTTGGTGTCTTTTCCTCTTACTTGTGTGTTCCTGGAGAGCTGCCTGCTGTTCTCCGTGAGTCTGCTGCAGATCTACACTGGTAAAAAGGATGAGGAGTGATTTGGCTGCCTGACCACTAGATGTTGCTGTGGGCTGGACTGCTCTCCCATCTCCTCCTGCACTGATGGCCCACAGCAGCTTTTAGTTCAAAAAAGGGTCTCTGTGCACGGCTCATTCCCCAGCCCAGCTGATTTTCTAGCACGCCCCCTGTTTCTCGTTGGCTTAGCAAAGTTTTCATGTGAGTTTTTAGTGTCTTCAACAAATAACGCCTGTTGAGTAATTTTTTTCTACCTTCTTTTTATATAGAAGTATAAAATTAAACCTTGTTTTTTTAAAAACATGATTTCTGGTTTTGGAGGGACATTTTTATTTCTAAAAACTTTTTGGTATTCTCCTTTTCTTTCCTATACTCTTAGCAATTTTTCTGATTTTTTTGTTAGTGTGCCTCTGCTCAAAACCACTGATAGGATATATTTAAACAGGGGAGCTGCCAGAGGGAGAAAGAATAGAAAGTCAAGGCAGGCAGAGCAAAGCTAGCAGTGAGTTAGATCAGCTACAAAGTTGTTATTTTATATATATATAGATGAGGAGTGATTTGGCTGCCTGACCACTAGATGTTGCTGTGGGCTGGACTGCTCTCCCATCTCCTCCTGCACTGATGGCCCACAGCAGCTTTTAGTTCAAAAAAGGGTCTCTGTGCACGGCTCATTCCCCAGCCCAGCTGATTTTCTAGCACGCCCCCTGTTTCTCGTTGGCTTAGCAAAGTTTTCATGTGAGTTTTTAGTGTCTTCAACAAATAACGCCTGTTGAGTAATTTTTTTCTACCTTCTTTTTATATAGAAGTATAAAATTAAACCTTGTTTTTTTAAAAACATGATTTCTGGTTTTGGAGGGACATTTTTATTTCTAAAAACTTTTTGGTATTCTCCTTTTCTTTCCTATACTCTTAGCAATTTTTCTGATTTTTTTGTTAGTGTGCCTCTGCTCAAAACCACTGATAGGATATATTTAAACAGGGGAGCTGCCAGAGGGAGAAAGAATAGAAAGTCAAGGCAGGCAGAGCAAAGCTAGCAGTGAGTTAGATCAGCTACAAAGTTGTTATTTTATATATATATATATATATATATATATATATATATATATATGTAGTTGTAGAGGTATCCACAGGTTCATCTCAGCCAGCTTCATTGTTAAGTGTCACATTTTAAGACCTTTTGGTCTACACTTTGTTGGTAACACCTGTTCTAGTAGCTGCTCTCTCTGCACAGTCCCATTACAATATCTGAAAGTTTGGAGATGGCACCAGACAAGTGGGTTTAGACTATCAGTGATGGGGCAGCTTAATTATGTCTCCAGTTTGGCCATATTGAAATGTGTGTATATAGGAATGTGTTTCTCTTGAAAACACGGGCTGTTCATGGTTGCGTATATAATGCATGAAACTTTAGGTGTTGTACTGCTAAATTAGATATACAAACTGACATTTGACTTGCACTTGCCCACAGGAGAATTAATGACAGTTGCTCGATGGATGAGGGAATTTATCGCACAGCATCCAGACTACAAGCAAGACAGTGTGATTACTGATGAAATGAATTATAGCCTTATTTGGAAATGTAACCAAATCGCACAAGGCCAGGCAGAGTGTCCTGAACTACTGGGGGTAGGATTTAATAAGAAACAAAGTGGAAGCAAAACTGGCTCTTTGTAATGAATGAATGTTTTTTAACTAACAGAAAGCTTAAGCCTTTTAGCAAAGCACTAGCGAAGATACTGTGAATCTGGTACAGTTTCATGGTGTGAAGACCAAAACAGGGATACTGCACTATAAAATGGGCCAATCTGCCTAAATACTCGTTTAAGGCATCCTGAAATGGGCATATTCTTATTGTTAAGGTTTATACAATGTACATGTAAATAGTAAAATATTTTTTATTAACATCAATGTATTTTAATAATATTGTATCTAAAGTTATTGTGAATTAGCTTGTAACTTTTTTATGCTTATACTAGAAAGAAAAATTGTCCTGAACGGCTTTGTAAATGTAATGATACTTGTATATTACATGCATTCCAGTTACTGAATGTTTACTGTAATTTTTTTTCACCTGGAATGTGCTAAGTAATCTACCTTGTTGTGGAAGAAAAAAAAAATCTTCTGGACCTTTCTGAATCACAGATACTTCTTCCTTCCATTTGGGTTTCAAAAGTATGTAAGAACCTATAAATGCATGTGCATTCTATTTGTTAAGCTCTACAGCAGTTCCTCAGTTGCCACATCACCTGCACCCTCTATAAGCTGTAAAACTCAGATAACACAAGTCTGTCTGCCTGTCTGCATATACATCGTTATTTTCTTTCCCCTCTGAAGTAAATTTCTACACTATCACAATTCAGAAATTTGCCCAGTCATTTAACAAAAAAGCAGTAACGGGGGAGATGAGGTGAAAAAGTAGAGGGAATGAGAGCTGAGCATAAAGCTCTCTTTACAAAGGAACCAGAGAGACCTGCTCTGGACTTCAGCAGCACCCTTTAACTGCACTTCTTCCACATTGCTGCTGTTCCCACAGTTAACAATGACTGCAGCACAAAAGCAAGGACTTTGCCATATTTCCTAAAGGTTGAGTTTCTCATTTATCATTCAATATTTTAAATATTTGTGTCAGCATGTTTATTTTCTATAAGGTACTTTATCTAGATAGCTGAGACACCTACATAGCTGTAGGTATGGACAACTTAATCCCCTCTAAAAAAATAGTTCTAAAGAAATCATGGAATGCACTAAGCCTTTGAATTGGGAGCCAGTGCTGGCAGTTACTGTAAAGTATTTAAAATTAGCCATTGCAACTGTAAATAAAGCAAACTTAAGGGGCCTTTTTGATTTAGCTTCTTAACTTACTTCTAGAAGTGAACTGCATTATGGGTAGATTACACAAAGCTTAATGCAAGCACATCCAGACACCTGAGGTGTCAGGATTATTATTTTTTTTTAAAAGAACTAATGGAGAAACCACAATGAAGAGGTGCACTAAGAAGAAGCTTTAGATTTGTTCTGTGTTCACAGGTGTGCTTTAGAGAATAAAAAGAATGCATTTTTTTCTGCAGTGGTGAATTTGTTTTCATCAAGATGTCAGCATATGCTAATTTAGTTTATGTAATATGGAAATAAAAATAAAATTTGCAGTATATATTGATCACTTGCATGACTTGAACCCCATTTTCAGATGCATAAAAGGAGGGGTTTTATACCTGGCAAGTACAGCTCATCTGACCCACTTTGTTCACAGTGAAACTTCCCAGGGCTGATGTTCTACCCCTCTTGCAACAGCGAAGTCCTTACCATTGTCATGGTAGCATCTGTCTGATTGCACAACATCAGGTTCTATGCTTGGGAGACCCCTAAAGAATGTTCAAATGCTTTCCTACTGGTCCTGCATCAGCACATATCCTTTTCCCCTTTGAACTGCTATTGAATCACCTTTTTGGCCTAGCAGGTGGCTACTGTCCTGTGGTAAGAGCAGATTATGTCTTGATCCCTGAAAGGTGTGGCTGGAAGTTTCCCTCACAAGTTACTGTATGTATGTTTTCAGAAAGAACAAGAAAGATTGAACACGAAGCTGCTGCTTGTTTGTTGAGGTGTGCATGGTGGTGGTATCTAAGCAGCTTATGTTCCCCAGAGGAAGCCCTGTTCTCAATGGTGTGGCTTGCAAGGGGCCCAGCCACAGTTGCAGGGAAGTGCAAACATTGCAACAAGTTTTGAATATACCTTGTAGGTGGTATCTGCACCCACTCTAGGGTGAAGAAGCAAGCCCTAGGTCAAGCCTCAAGCTCTTGCTGACCTTTTGCAGAAAGCATGAGCAACTCCCTTGGGCTATGAATTCAGGAGATTTGGTCCTGCAGTCATGAAGTGCTTTCATGGAAATAATTAATTTTCCAACAGCCACCTGAGTAAAAAAGAGGGGAAGCAGCATCAAGCACCTGAGGTGAAATGATTCATTGCCCAAAGACCTTACTAATGTGTCAGTCATGGCACTTCCTGTGACCTCTGTTGGCCCCAGTTCAACACCAGGAATTTGCTTCATGCCTTCCACTTAGTTTTCAGATAGAAGATCCTGTTGTGATTTCCAGTGATCTTGATGCTATAAGCGATACTCTGATGCCCCGTTTTCTTTTGAGAGTCAATCTACTTGAGTACAAGCATCTGTCTTTCTGAGTTATTTTAGCTGTACTTTTATCCTGGCCTAACTTCAAAATGTGGTGGTTTTGTGTGTGCACGGAGCTCTGCAAGCAGTTTGCCTTTCTGGGAGTGATGCACCAAGAGCTTCATATGATACTTTGGTCCTGCAAAAGCAACCTGAGCTCTGAAACCAGCATCGTGCATCTTCTAGGTTAT